CTTGGGACCTCCCGACCTAAAAATTTGAAAAAGCCTAAATGGCTCAAAATGCATTTCTAAAAGTTCTAAACTCTAAGAAATGTCCTAAATCGCTCTCGAAACCCTCATGATAAGCTAACCGGTGCGTGACACACAAAACGAGGCAAGAAAATAAAATAATCCGAAAATTCAAAAAAATGCCCAAAAATGAAAAATTGAGAAACGTCACATTTCACTTGTGCTGATGTCTTATTTTCTAAGTTTATCCCTTATTTTTTGGATTGTAGTCATCTTATCAAAATTACTCCCAATTCATCTTTGCCACCTCTTCCTACTCTGTCTCTTAATCCTAATCCTCCCCAATATGTTACACCATTGTAGGTTTACACTCGAAGACCCAAGCTGCCTACTGTGCCATCTTCTTCGAAGTCTTTGCATCTAACATCGTTTGTTGTTTCTAACTTTTTACCTATTGCTCTACGTAAAGGTACTCGGTCTTATGTTACTCACCATCCCATTGCTAATTATGTATCATATAATTCCCTCTCACCTTCTTTCTTATGTTTTTCGTCCCAGTTTTCAGTCACCCTTGTTCCTAAGACTGTGCAGGATGCCCTGTTTGATCTAGGCTGGAAAAAAGCAATGGAAGATGAAATGGATTCCCTACATCATAGTGGGACGTGATATCTTATTTCTTTGCCTCCTGGTACTAAACTTGTTGGTTGTAAGTGGGTTTATACTATCAAATACCTTAATGATGGCTCTATTGAGCGTTTAAAGGATCACTTTGTTGCTAAAGGATATAATCAGACTTATGGTGTTGATTATGATGAGATATTCTCTCCTGTTGCCAAGATTTCATCTATTCGTGTTTTCAATATTTCTCTTGCTGCTAATCATTATTGGCCCTTATTTCAGTTGGATATCAAGAATGCTTTCTTACATGGGGATTTAGTTGAAGAGGTCTTCATGGAGTAACCAACTAGCTTTGTTACTCAAGGGGAGTATCGACATAATGTTTGTCGCTTGAAGAAGGCCCTTTATACTCTGAAATAATCACTGAGAGCTTGGTTTGGAAAATTTTCTGATGCAACCTTTGAATTTGGTCTTTTATATGCCAGACAAATCATTAAGTGTTTCATCAATATACTAGAGCTGGTTTCATTTTTCTTATACTATACGTGGATGAAATTGTTATCACAAGTAACGAATCTATGGGCATTGCTAAGTTAAAGGAGTTTCTACAACATCAGTTTTAACCTAAAAAGACTTGGGTAAACTTCAATATTTCTTGGGAATTGAAGTTACTAGATCAAAGAAGGGTATCAATTTGTTTAAGAAAAAATATGTGCTGGACTTATTAGAAGAAATAGGTATGTTAGGTCATCGTGTAATTGATGTTCCCATGGATCCTAACACAAAACTTTTGGCTGATAAAGGTAATTTGTTTGATGACCCTAGAAGATATTGATGACTAATTGGGAAACTGATTTATCTCACTATTACTGGGCCTGATAACTCATATGCGGTTAGTGTAGTGAGTTAAATAAGGTGTCACAATGGAATGTTGTTGTCCGGACTATACAATATCTCAAGCGAACCCTAATCCAATGGACACCTTAGGGTGGAAGGTTTTACATATATTGATTGGCTAGTTTTCCTTCAGATAGAAAATCCACTACATGATACTGCACCTTATTCGAAGGCAACCTAGTTACGTGGAAGAGTAAGAAGCAAACTGTGGTAGAACAATCTAGCGTTGAAGCTGAGGACATGGCAATAACTCATACATCGAGTGAGCTAGTTGACATGGTTACAGCATTTTATTGAAGAACTTGATCTAGAAGTTCAAACTGCTCTTCCATTGTTCTGTAATAATAGAGTAGCTATTCATATGGCCTCTAACCCAGTGTTTCATGAGAGGACAAAGCATATTGAAGTTGTCTGCCACTTTATTCGAGATAAAAAAAATTGAGTGGAAACATCTCTACTCCATTTGTGAAGTCTGAAGATCAATTGACAGATATGTTCACTGAGGCTTTCAGTCATAATCGATTGAAGACTATTTGTTCCAAACTAGCTGATTATATAATATATATTCTCCAACTTGAGGGGGAGCGTTAGAATAATTGAATTAGGGCATTCTTATAATTTACCTACCCCACAAGAGTATTTTAGTCCTTTCGTTGTTTGTACACTTGTATACATACACATAGTATCATAATGAGAAGGTGATTGACTCAATTTCTCAATATGCCACCTTATTCTCTTCTATTCTAACCCTAATCGTAACAAGGATAAAGAAATGTTAGAAAAAATAGAAATTTAATACAAATTATCAATGAATAATAAATATAACTAAGAATTAAATGCGATACTCAATATAGCACATGCCCATTGTGATTTTAAAAAATGTCATTTTGAATTAAGTAGGCTTGATTCAAAATTAAATGATTTAATTTTAAAAACAACGATGATAGAATGTTGGGGAGTCAAACGATAAATGATTTTCTTTTTTAAAATATAAATTCCTCTTTTCCAAAATTGTAAAGACTATGTATTTAAAAAGTTAAGAATATTTTAGTAAGTAATTATCCTTTTAAACTATTGAATTAGGACAAAATGCTTTGAACATCTAAGAGAGACAAGAATTTTGGTACAAAGAGTATGAATCATATTATACAACCCCAATGAACTGTTAAGACTAAGAAGTACTGGCAAACACAAATGATCATTCAATAAAATTTTACCCATTTCATTCTCAAATATATATATATATATATATATATATATATATATATTAGGGATAATTATACTTACCTCCCCTGAGGTTAGACGTAATTATAGGCGGTACCCCTTACGTTTCAAAAATTACACTGACCTCCCTCCAAACTGATCAGCATTTTATTCCGGCCATTAACCATGTTAAATGAATAAAACACCCTCTAGTATTTTATTAATATCACATAAAGAATTTTTTTTAAAAAATTACCATATTGTCCCTAGTATTTTATTAATATCACATTAAATTATTTTTTCTGAATCAACTAATCAAGGTCATATATATATATATATATATATATATATATATAAAATTTTTGGGCATATTATTTCAGCCTGCCCTATCGCCTCCATCTCTATTCTCGTTCCCAACTCTGAACTTGCCCTCTCTCTGTGCAACTGCAAACTATAAAATCTACAAGAATCAGAAGTTCAAAACCCATATATTTCAGTTAATCTATATGTCGGCAGCAATCAAAAGTTCAAAACCTATTACATATCATTTCAGATTGTTTAAAAAATCAAAACCCATATCTTTCAGTTTCCATTATCCGCTGTTCCAGTTATGGTTCGTTGTTCGCAAGCTTCAGCTGCTGTCTCTCAACTCTCAGCTTGCCCCCCTCTCTCTCTGCAACTGCTAGCTTGATGTCGTGGTGTGATTTAAGGCTTCTTCTGCCTAAAATCAATGAATTCATAATTTGACAAAAACAAAAAAAAAATTCAAACAACACATTACCAAATCAAATCCAAAAAAAAAAAAAAAATCAAAATTCTTCTAAGAACCTGCAACATCCGAGCCAATTCCTCATCGGATTTCACCAATTCCGCATCAGCAGCATCTATCGGCAAAAATGAAAAGTTATCATTTTAGATTGTTCAAAAAATTAAAACCCATATCTTTCAGTTTCCGAGCAGCTATAGCGATGCGGCGGTGAGCTCCGATGGCGTTCCTTAAGAGCTTTCATATCATTGTCGGCGACGGCAACATTGGTATTCTTAGGGAAGTCCATGTTGTGTCCAGGCTTTCATGACCTGGTTTCTTCAAGAACATCCGCCACCTCAATTTCGTCGACATGGACATGGTCGCCGTAATATTCACCAGTGAAATGCGAATCCGAATTCAGAAACTGTAGTGAGCTTAATCGGTGAAGCGGTTCGAATCGCTGATCAATTGAGAGCTGCAAAACTTGTGAAACGACAGCGATTTGACAATAGTGAAGTAGTCACTCTTCTTGTACTCGTTTAGTTTATCTCGATCATCGCCGCAGGGATGATGTTTCCGCAGAAGATCATGTTATTGTCAATTAGGCTGATTGCGGAGTTTAGATCGATGAAGAAATAGGTCTCGATCTATGGGGGTTTTTGGATTAGGGTGTAGCCACGGACGGTGGAGCTGAGGAGGAGAGCTGCTCTATCGGCAGTAAGTGGTTTCCATAAATTCTGGCGGCGAGATGCTCCATCGATTCCGGCGGTGCGATGATTTGCAACTATGTATATAAACCAATATATATATATAGGATGGACTAGTTTATATATGTATATGTGCATATATATATATATATATATATATATATATATATATATATAGACCAGTATATATATTATATACAGAGAGCCGTGCTTCTAAATTGGTTTTAGAGTGAAATGTAAGATGTGCATACATAATTGTGTTGAGGGTATATGAGTAATTTTAATTAAAAAGTAAGGGTGAGAATGTCTTTGTAATTATAATAAGGGCAAATTTGGTATTTAATGCTAAAAAATTGCTGACATCATTATTGACTGGCATTGACCGTCACCGGACGGGTCAAAGTATTACTCTAGAGCTAACTTTGAGGAAGGTTGGTGTAATTATTAAAACGTTAAGGGTAGTGCTTGTAATTAGGTCTAACCTCGAAGAAGGTAAGTGTAATTATTCCTATTTTTTATTACCAAAAATCAGTTAAGTATTTATAAGGGGAATAAAGAAAGGGAGGGTATGTCAGGTAATTTGTGGGATAAATATATGAAAAGAAGTAAACATACAAGTAGATCATGACAACTGGGGTAGTGACGAAAGAGGGGCTTGTCCTGATGTTTGCAAGAAGATACGATATTAGAGAGAGAGAGGGGGAGGGGAAGGAGGCAAGGTGAGGCCCACAGGTTAGTGTGGCCCAAAACCATCGCCGAGTAACGACACGGTGGTCTGCTGCGTGTGAGCTGCAAGAACAGCAACACCAGCCCCCCCTCCTCAATTAATTCTCACTTTTTTGCGAATCACTATTTGTAATGTGAAATAGTGACGAAAATAAGGCACACTCTAGAGAGAAATATATATATATATACAGAGAGTTTTTGAGTGAGTGAGAGAGATAGGGATAAGTATGTGTTATATAGATGGGCGAATATTTATTTATCTGTGTTCATGTATGTCCATGACATTAGATGATTGAAGAATAGTGTAACAGCAACAACATCATTCATTTTTAATATATTGTATGTATAAAAGGAAGAAGAAGAACAAGTACTGCAATAGAGGGAGAAAGAAGCTAGCAAAGGTGGTTTTACGGATTCATTGTTTCCATCTCTCTCCCTCTCTCTCTCCCTCCCTCCCCATCCCCGGATTGTAGCTGTCTCCTTGGATAGTTTCCTCTTGCTTTTTTTTTTTCTGCCTTTCTATGTAGAAGTACTGTAGATCAACCATACCCAAGAGCCACGATTTTCAAATTCTTCTCTATTTTGCATGTTTCTGATCATGAGAGCTCAAATCTGTTAGTGGGTAGCGGTCATCTTGGTTGATTTTGGATTGGAGTTGGCTACTGATACTCCTGGTTCTTTAATTTCTTTGTTGGTTGTAGTTAGAGTTCTTCATATATGTGACCAAATTAACTGGGTAGATTTCAATCAATTTATTAGCCAAGAGCCAGAATTTTCTGTTAAGATGTACTAGTTAACGAGTTCAAAGTAATCTCTTGGTGGGTAGTGGTCATTTTCGTTGATTTGGAATTGTAGATTGGTTTCTGGTGAAGACAACAAAGAGAAACCACCAACAAAAGCTGCATATACAAAGCTCTAGACATGGCGGTCACTCCCTCATCAACGCCGTTCTTCGGTCTAAGAGAAGATGATCAAAACCAGATGAAGCAGCAGCAGCAGCAGCAGCAACTTTCCATACCCACTTCTTCAACAGCTCCAACCACAGCACCTCAGAAGAAAAGGAGAAATCTTCCGGGAACACCAGGCAAGTACATATACCCATTCACATACATGTGTGTATGTGTGTGTGATTTTTGATAAACAAAAACTTAGATACACAAGTCCAATCCCATGTTTCTCAATTTGATAGCATTGGATCCTCTAAAAACCCTAATTCTTGATACATCATTCATTTTTCTTTTTTTGTTTTTCCCCCTTGGACATCCATGGACTTTCTAGATTTGTGAGTTAGGTACTTTTGTAAACTTTAATTTAATTCTTATTAGGTCTTCTAGTTTATGACTTTTTCTGTTTTTGTGTTTGGGTTTTCTCCTACATAACAGATCCAGATGCGGAGGTAATTGCACTATCTCCCAAGACCCTAATGGCAACAAACAGGTTCATTTGTGAGGTATGCAACAAAGGGTTCCAAAGGGAGCAAAACCTCCAGCTCCACAGAAGAGGACACAACCTGCCTTGGAAGTTAAAGCAGAAAACTACAAAAGAAGTGAAGAGGAAGGTGTATCTGTGTCCCGAGCCAACCTGCGTCCACCACGACCCTTCCAGAGCCCTCGGCGACCTCACCGGCATCAAGAAGCACTACTCAAGAAAGCATGGCGAGAAGAAGTACAAGTGTGAGAAGTGTTCAAAGAGATACGCGGTTCAATCTGACTGGAAAGCCCATTCTAAAACATGTGGCACCAGAGAATACAGATGTGACTGTGGCACTCTTTTTTCAAGGTAATTAAGCCACCCCATTTTTTCTTACATCAATCATATGCATATAATGAATTTTATATATATATATATATATATATATATATATATAATCACTCGTTCATTATATAAGTTGCATGACAAAGATAGATGTTAGATATAGGAAAAAGGGTTTCTATAGATATAGAGACTGTGAGTAGAAGAGGACAGACCAGAGAATAATGTCTGTTCATCCCTTTCATTAGTTATAGCAAAGTTTTATAAGCTAGCAATGGTTTCTGAAACTAATCGCATGATAAATAAATAAAAAAGCGTACTCATAGAATTGAGGTGTGTGTGTGTTGCTAATGGCAGAGAGACTAGTTCCACGTGAGTAATCTACGAGATTGCAATGGTCGTGAGTAATCTACGAGATTGCAATGGTCTAAAGGCTAGCTTAAAATACACACTTGTGCACATGAATAGAATTAGGAGAGAGAGAGAGAGAGAGGAGGGAAAATTGAAAAACAAAATAAAATGATCCTTTTTTTTTCCTTGGAAACAACGCCCTTGGATCTTTAGCTAGCCATTCACGTGACACTTATACAATGAAATGAACCATGTTGTTTCTTGGTTTGTTCTCATGTGGGTTGGATGTTGTTACTGGATAGCTGTACTCAGAGCTGTGCTCTTGCAGGTTCCTCTCCCATGATAGCTTTAGGGTTATGGGACCAGGATGTTCTCTCCTTCCCTCTCTCTCTCTCTCTCTAAACAGTAAATAAGTAAAAATTATTTGGAACACCAACAATTTTCAAGCTTAATTTGCAGTCATTTAATCATTCAATTAACAGTAATTTTTCTGTGGTTGTGAATGGAATAAATCTCACATTGATATATAAAAGTAGTTTGCACTGAAAGAGGATGAGCCTAGAAATGGTCTTTTCTCCCATTTGCATATGATTCTCTTGTTCATTTATTGAGGAGTCAATCCTGCAAATGGATTAATTTCTTCTTGTAGTTTTCCTTTTTCCCCCTATATTCTTTGTTCTCTTTCACATTTGCTTTTTCATTTTTGTCTCCATTATCTGCTACTGAAGATAAGTGCATTCTGATTCAAATTTTTTGCTTGCTAACATTTTAATTATCCTTCTTTGAATAGTTAATCAATCAATTAATTCTTTTTCAGCATAAACCCTTTCAATCTCCTGGTACATGAAATTACCTTCTCCAGCATTTCCTCTTAGACCGATTAAAATGAGTCATTTTGATGTGTCATGAATATCAACTCCATTTGAATTGTTTTATACACATTTGAAATGCTTCTATGTTATTTCTTTTCCATTACATTAATTTAAAATTTTATAGATAAATTATTTTTGTTAGATTTTAATATATTTTTTTTTCGTAAATGTTTTATAATAACCAAACACCAAAATATAAAAAAATATTTTCTGAAAAATATTTTACATCCAAAGAAAAGGAGTCTAAATGTTAAATGCTTAAAATTTAAACAAAAATAAAAAATAAAAAAATCCCAATTTACAATTATTTTATAAAACTTCCGCACTTAAAATTTCTATAGTTATTAGTATTTTTCAAATTTGTCAGATAGCAGCTCAGTCATTCTCCTTGGTGCATAAGAAAAAGTCTTTTGTTTCATGTGTTATTCTTTTCCCACTTCTTTCTCCTTATGATAGCAACTTCCTTTTCCCTTGACTGGTTCAACTTTTACAATGACAATTGACATACATAAAATATTTCATGAACTTGTGCTCTTTATGTCCATATTACTATCTTAATAAAAGGTGTCTAAAGGCTTTCTTTTTCACAATAATTGATTGTCACAGGAGGGACAGTTTCATTACCCACAGGGCCTTCTGTGATGCATTGGCTCAGGAAAGTGCTAGACACCCTTCAAGCCTCAACACCATCAGTAGCCATCTATATGGTGGAACCAACCACATGAGCTTGGGTCTTCCTCCATTACAAGATCAGAACCACCCTTCCAGCAACATGTTAAGGCTTGGCAGTGTCGGGGGAGCGAAATACGAGCACCTCATTTCCCCATCAAATCCTTCTCCTTTGAGTCAGCCTCTACAATCGATGCCTTCACCTGCATTCTTCATGTCGGATTCAAACCAAAGCTATAATCAAGAACAACAAAGCCACCAGCACGAATTAATACCAAACAAGCCATTTCACGGTTTGATGCAGCTTCCTGATCTTCAAGCTGCCACCACTAACAACTCTCCTTCTGCTACCAATCTCTTCAACCGTGGCTTCTTTCCAAGTAATAGTTCCGGTAGCAGCATGAACAATGGAGAAAATGGCAACCAAAATAGCGCCAACCTATCGCCTGCAGGTTTCTTAATTCCTGATCAGTTCAATAATGGAAATGGAGGTGGTCAAGGAACAACGATATTCTCAGTTAACATGGGCGATAATGTTGGACCAAGCCTGTCTTCTCTCTATGGCAATTCAGTGCAACGTGAAAGCATCGTCCCCACGCACATGTCTGCTACCGCATTGCTTCAAAAGGCTGCTCAAATTGGTTCAACCACAAGCAACAGCAATGCCTCGTTACTAAAAGGATTGGGCAGCTCTTCATCAAGTGGTGCTAAATCTGATTGGCAATTTATGTCTACTAACTTTGGCAGAAGTTTTGGCAGTGGAGGAGGTGGTGGCGAAGAGAATTCGAACCTAAGATCACAAGTGGAAAATGAAAATCAATTCCAAGGACTAATGAATTCTCTTGCAAATGGGAGCTCTTCCATATTTGGCAGTGGGAATGAGCAAGACCATAACAGCTTTGGTGGATTCAATGAGAGCACGATGTCGTCAGGAGAGTCCAATAAGTTGCATCAAAATTTTAAGGTTGGTATGGGAGGCTCTGACAGATTGACACTGGACTTTTTGGGTGTTGGAGGAGGGATGGTGAGAAAAATGGGTGGTGGGTTTGCACAAAGAGAGCAGCAAAATGGGATTGATATAAGCTCTTTGGACCCTAAAATGAAGTCAGCTCAGACAAGCAGTCATGTCTTTGGTGGTCAAGAATTGTCCTAAACATGAAGCAATTAAGGTAAGAAAAAAACACAAAGGGAAGATATGCATGTGTGTAAGGCAAACATGTATGGTGAACCCACCAAATAATGTTCTAATGGTTTACTAGTTTATTAGAGTTTCATTTTGTCAATGTGACTTGCTCAGAGCTTTCTTTGAGTTTCACTTTTGCTTAATTATTTTCTCCTCCTTCTGTTTTTTAATTTATTTATTTATTTTTATTTTTAATATAGAAGTAGTTGTTCTTCTTGGAGAAGATCAAGATGGCTTCCAAACAAAGAGAACTATTATTTGTTTATTACTCTTCTTTCTCTATAGTCAATTATGTTGTCACCTTTGACTAACAGCTTGGTAAACCATTCTTTCTTTTTATTGCGTGTGACCCATATAAATCAAATTTATCCGAAATTGCTGAAATTTTACCTTAGGAAAATCTTCCCTCTCTTTTTTGTATAAGAATAGTTCTTGGAATTATTTGTGGAAAATAATGTTGAATTATAATTAGAATTATGATTTTTTTTTCTCCATATATTTAGTGATGTTATACAGTTTTAGTTATTTTTTCTGGTATAATTGGACTAGATTTTTTTATACTTGAAGATTCATCTCGATTAAAAATGACCCAACCATCAATAATCACTAACTTTGCATCTTACTCCTGTCATTTTTTACTAAATTCGATTGTTTAGCGGACGTGATCGTGTTAGACCATTAATCCTCCCATTTGTCTCTATAGTATTTGATATATACCTGAATATGCAAAAAAAAGAAAAAAAAAAAAAAAAAGAAAAGAAGGTAAGAGCAGAGATCAGCTCAACTTCTCATATCCTCTCAAAAAAATGATACGCAAATCTCTCTCTCTAATGTTGTTTTTGTGTGTGTGGATATAAAATTAACAAAAGGAGTCGAAGTCATGTCAAAGAAGAAGCAGAATGTGGAAAAGGACTTCTAGCGACTGTAAGAATCTTCACATGTTAATTAGTCTTCAACAAACTCGACAAGCCATATTAATATATATTATTTGTCCAGGGGTCATATTTATTTATTTTTTTCTTTTCTATATTCCATTAATGTAATATTGTACTAAACTCGATCTGTTAGAGAGAGAGAGACAGAATTTATTCTCTGATTAGTTTATGATTTCCAAAGAAGTTGTTTGCCCACCTAATACCTAACCCCTAAATATAATGTATTATCAAGAGAGTAAAAAACCTTAATTTCAGGGTCAGTTGTTGACATTCTTTTCAAACTTTTCCCTTTGAAATTCACCACATTGACCTTCTTTATAAATTGAGCAAAAATGTTACGCAGAATAAATCGACTAAAAGATGCTAAGCAACACTAATTAGAGTAACTCTCTCAAGAGATCTTTCTCCATTTGAGCTTTTCATTTTAACAAATGAATCGAAAGTTGTATTAAATTATTTATTAATAAAAATGATATAAGTTTATTTAGTTATTGAAAAATCAAACAAACAACCCACACTAACAATATTATTCCTATCCCACACTAATAATATTATTCCTATCCAAACTTGAATACTCAATGAACAAAAATCATATCATCTGATCTAATGTTCATTGGTAAGTTTTATTTTCTTAGTATTATATATATATCAGAAAAAATAAAAAATAAAAAATTATATATATATATATATATATAATTTTTTATTTTTTCTGATCTGGGAAGTAAAATATCTTATGGTTCATTGTGGGACTGTCAAAGAAAGGGTTGCCCTCGTTTCCTAGATGGAATATCAGAGGCATCTTTTTCCTTCTATATAGAGATCGAGGTGCAGTCTCTTGTTTTTTTCCTTTGCAGAGGAAAAGGAGGGAAGAGAAAAACTCTCTCATGGAGCCCACATATCTCTTCCTTCCGAAATGAGAAATTGACAACAAATTTATGGATGAATTCCAGAGGATTCAATTAACATGAATCAAACATAATAATAATTAACACATAATTTACCACCGACAATTTAAATAAGTACTTTAAATTATACATCTTTTCTTTTTATTTATTAAGAGAGTAATTCTATACAAATAGATAAAGTAAACTTACTAGACAATAGACATATTCCCTTGAATTTCACTTAATGTTATCTTATAAATATTTATAGGTCACTTGATTCAGACTTTCTTTTTCTATTCTTTTTCAGATTGAAATTAAATAATATATTGTTGTGGGTAAAGGGTAAAAATATATTGATGAAAAAAAACCATTAGAATATGATCCGCAATGAAATGAGACAAATTTTATTAACATGACAACATTCCAACCAATATATATATATATATTGCATTTTAAAAACCAAATCAACTAGATCTTTGGTTAAAGACAGTGCTCAGTGCTTCAGTAGAAGAAACTAATTTGTTAACCTGGTGACTAATATTCTAATGACATTGAAGACTCTTGTTTCTAGTATTGTCTTCTTGTGTTTGGCTTAATATGCAAGGAAATACTCCTAATTGTATATATAAAAATGTACTTCATGAGGCAACGTTCATCCATAGAGCAACATTATTGCTCAAATTGCATATAATATGGCACCGACTTGGTTGGAGCAGTTCACCTCCATTGACTAATCACTGTTGGAGATTAAATCAGCTTCTGTTGGGTTGTCTTTCGTGGACAACCCAACAGAAGCTGATGTAATCTAGACTCCTCCGCTCCTCAACATCATCATCTAGACTACTTATTTGCCTCAAGACTCCATTTGCATTGATCCAAAGTTCATTTCAATGGATCTGGAGTTTAATTTTGGATTCAAGTTACAAAATAGCTCGATTATTAATATTTCTTGAAAGAACTATTGTAATTCTGTATCGAAATTAGACATGGGTGCATGAAACGGTTCACATATGTTGGGGAAAAACAAAAATATAACAGGACAATGCAACAAATACAATACTGTGAAGGGAAAATAATTCAACACCAATAATAAGTTGACACATCAGCATACGGATGGACCACTAAGAAATGTGAAGACTATTCAACTCCCAACTTGGGCCTCAATATGAAGATTGGTGCAGGTTTAGAGAGCTTGGTGGGCTGGACCCGTTAAGAGGGCCCAAATATAATGATTTCATGCTAGAATACAGGTACTAAACCCACTTTGGTAATAATTTTATTAGGAGAAGGATTACCATCCAAGGTAACTAAATCATGTATATCTTTATCATAAGGAAAGTGTATTGCAATTAAAATTCTTGAGGGGCAAGCAATGCGAGTTCTAAAAGGACTCAACCACTCAGAATTTCTTATAAATTGAGACCAAGACCTCGATCGGATATAGAGATACAAGCTTTTCTTCATAAATATCAGCTTTGAATTATTTGTTCCTTATCTTTGTTAATCTTATGTTCTTGAGTGTTATGCGATAACACGTTGACTTTTCCAAGTTAAGCGAGTTTTTGCATATACACTTTGGCATCGTTAGTGGGAAGTGAAAAAAAACTTCTCATAACTTTTCATAATCAGATAGATGTGACACCGTTCTGGGATGACAACCGAACTGACGCAGTCCAGCGGCAGTATGCGGAACTTATGCTGAAGAGATGAGAGAAGATTTCACCTAGAAGTTCAAGACGTTACGAAAGGCCAATTAGGATAGTACAGCATAGTTTCAACTTCTTCGGCAGTAGAATCAAGTCCTTCAGGCAGATGTCGCCTGTTTGATGGCAACCTGGTTGACCTCGCCCGAATACCAAGCCGCAAATAGATCAGCAGCATCCCGAGGACCCCGAGGAAAGCCTCTGCCAGGAGGGGATCCATCCTCGGGTGAAGGCCTCTATCCTGAAAATTTTACAACAACACCAGAGTAGGCAAACGGAAGATCAGGCCAAATCAAGCCGGAGGAATATATACGAGTTGGAGCCCAGTCCCACCATGATTCTCGACGCAGTAGGAAAGTTGTTTAAGGGTTTCAGAGTTCAGACCCTAGAGGAGATGGCGAAAGAATTCATCACTTCGATTGTCAAGACTCCATTCACTAACGATATCGAGCGAATGGATATCCCAAAAAAATTCAGGATACCAACTTTCACCCCATTTGATAGATTCGGGGACCCAACCCATCACCTTGCCCATTACGCCTAGAAGATAGAAATACATACCCATAACGACCGTCTCATGTGCAAGGCTTTTCCTAAAAGCTTATCTGGGGTAGCGGTCGAGTAGTTCAAAAATAGGCCCCACTGACAGGCCCTTTTGCAGTACCACTTTTGTGAGAGGTCATTTTACAAGGTCAAAATATGAATGTGATTTTGGAAGCTTTAAAAAGTGAAATTTACATTTATAAAACCACTACTTCTACTATTGAAGTATAACGAGTAAGGAATCGTCCGCAGGGATTAAACACGTAGTTAGAATCTAACTTCGACTCTAGTGTTTCACAAGATTGCAAAGAGAGGGTTTGGTTTGATTGATTTAGTCTAAAGTGTAATTGAATGAAAATGCAAATAAGTTAAACTAAGTGAGCTAGGGTTTGAATGATAGGAAGAGAGGTCTTAGGGTGTTGGAATCACCACTAAGCTCATTCACCAAACCATATTCTTTCAACTAATTAAGGGAAATATTCTTGTGAACAAAATGTAGCTACAGTCATTAGTACAACTTGCAATTATGAGCATGGGACTATCCAATTCAAGTATGAATTGTCTACCTAATAACAAGTAAACTAGGGTGTAGTGCAACCAATCAAAATAGAGGCATAACCCATCAAACTAATTAACCAAGTGTATCTAATAAGAGCACATATTAACAAGATGATAATACTAATTTAAATAATAAGCATGGATTGTCAAATCAAGTACTATAAATTGTCTACCTAACTACAAGCATGAATTAAGGTGTAGAACAACGTACCAAGACTAAACCATAACCTGCCAAATTAATTGACAATTGTATCACACATCAATCAAGAGAATAATGGAATTTGCAATAATAAGCCATGGATATCAAATTCAAGCATGAATTGTCTACCTACCCAACAAGTAAAATAATGTGTAGAACAACTCATTAAGTCTAAGCATAATCCATCAAATTAATTGACAAATCCATCCAATGAAAATCATACATAGCCATCACTAAATACAATTACAAAGAGTATCTAGTGTAGAGCATAATCGTCAATTAATCATACATAGACATGCAACCAACATAGAGAATCAATAG